GTGTGGTTCTTTTTTAGCTTATATAAAATCAATAAAATGCACAACAATGCTTGATAGATTTTGCCAATTGGAATATATTTCTGTCCCATATATTTATTGAAATATACCAATCACCAAAAATTAATCAGAAATTGTTCTGACAATCTTATATAACCGTTTGCAAGTATTGGCACGATAAGCCTTTATTAAATCATCCGAGCTCCTTTTGTTAGACATGAAAGAGAAAACGTACCACCTAAACTGCCTTTTTTTTTTTTATAAAATATTTACAACAGTCTATTTGCAGAATGGGGATGATGGAAGGGGAGTGGAATCATATTATTGTTATGGATTTATATCTTATCTTATGTATAAAATTGAACTTTCTGAAGACTGCATATTGAACCTAGTAAAAGCATACTTGAATCACTTTCAAGGTAATGTCTCTTTTAGAAATTATGATATCAACATACATACAGTATGACCCCGAGATGACTTTTCTATTAAACAGTTCTGTAAAACAAACCGACTCCTACAACGTTCCTTTGTCAAGTGACAAAGAGTAAAATATAGCCAGTTAGCATCAGAGGGTTTGCTTGCAGGAGATATGGTTCCTTCCACTTGTGACAAAGGAAAGTGTACAGTTAGAAGTACCCGTTGGTTGGTTTGTGGGAGACAATGTTCACGTTATGTCTATATTACTGTAATAAAACACAATAACACGCATAACATATATCATTTGTTCTGTTTCATGGGTACTTAAAACTTAAGTGTACTATTGGGAGAGGAGAAATCAATCCTCACGGTCACGAATTACTCCTATATTCAGCCAAACACAGCTTTGTGCTTCTGAAGTGAATCAATATTCAAATATTACATGGACTTGATTTCTAACTCTTCTGTTTGTTTTGTTCTCATTTTGATACAGTATATATCTTGATCGAGTTATTGAGTGAGAATAACATTAAGTTTTACCTAACATAGCTATCATTTGTTTTGTTTGGGTCAAGGTCATTCATTGAAGCAAACACGACAGCCCTTCATTCTAACATTAGCTTGGAGACAAATACTGGCACTCTGTTAGACCGAGCATTTTATACCTTAAGAAGAAGTGGGAGGAATTTGACTAAACTGCATTTGACTCTAGTGATGAAAGTGGGCTGTGAAAACTAATTTGAACAAATCTGATAGCCCTTGATCAGTCCAACAAGCTATGCGCAAAATGAAGTTGTGTTAAGATGTTTAACATTTGATCCTTGTGACCTCAAAAGTGGGTCATGGTAAATCATTTGAATACATTTGATAGCCCTTAAGCAAGCTATAGAAAGAATATGCCTACCTTTAAATCTACCCTAATTCCTAGAGAGATGACGTTTGGTAAGCAAGCTTAAGTTCAGCTCTCCAACTCAGCAGTAGCTACAGATCAAACATCAACACTTTACGCCTCACGAACAGCAGGACAGACGAAGGACGCAAAGGTCATTGCATAATATCGAAAAAGTTCATGCCAGGAGGACTAAAAACTGTTCAAACAGCTTAAAATTCAGTTTTGACAATTCTTTTTACTTCAGTATAGCCAGTACAGTTTTTGTTTCACACTCACGTATACAGGGATTGATTTTCAGATTTATAATAACTAAAATCTCTAACTGGCCAAATGAAGAGAATTTCTAGACCTATCCAGCTGTGAGTATACATCATCTGCATATTATCCTCATATTTTTTTTACCGGTTCCAATATTTTAGTTCTGTTGAATGCCAATAAAATAGTTTAAAAAACGGTTCATTAATGCAACTGGCATAAAATCATTATTCAGAATGGCAGCTGTAGTAGTATTGTAATAAAATATGCAAATTGATTTACAACATGTTTGTGTCAGGTAAATATTTACAATGACTAATTAATTCAGCTGCTCCACAATAACGGTACGAAACTCCCTGTGTATCGATACGATCTCCAATGGCCGACAGATTACAGGTGTAAATGACACATTTACAACGTAAATTGGATGATAGGATTTTTGTTTCGAACATTTTGTCAAACAGATACAGGACAATTTAGACTTGGTAATGGTGGTGTATTATTGATGAGAAGTTAGGTTTCCCAGCCCAACCCTGCTTTCATCCCCAAGGGGCGGACAAGTCTTGGAGACAGAATGTCACGGTCAACGAAGCATGAAATTAGTCGTGTTAATTAGAGTTGTTTTGCTCCCACATCAATGATGCATGAATGTGTTATATATCCAATAGCACGATGGACATTTTTACTTGTCTTCATTACAGGAGAGTTCCAGCTTTACAACTAGCTCATGTTCAGAAAGAGTTAAATTTATAAATTGTGTACACCTGATTAATTTAGTATTTTTTTTATCACAATAGGTTTTATAAAAAATCTCAGTCGCATTCAGACCTGACGATCTTATCTATATAAAGCAGCATAGCAAACTTTATTGAAATCTATTCACTTTTACTCAAGTTATCGTCGTGCATACAAGATAAAAGTTAACGCACATCGACAGACGAAGACGGTTGGCAATATATAGGTCACCATGAACTATGGTCAGGTGACTTAAAAACTCAACAAACACAAACACAAGACTCAGGATGTTATATACTCTTATTAGGATATGTAGGGAAGAAATCAATGTATCTTTTAATGATAAGTTTCAAAAGTTTGTCAGTTGTGGATTTGATCTGTCATCTTCACGATTCAAATAATTTCACATTTTACCAACCCATTAAAACAAGAATTTCACATTCTACCAACCCATTAAAACAAGAATTTCACATTTTACCAACCCATTAAAACAAGAATTTCACATTTTACCAACCCATTAAAACAAGAATTTCAAACGGTGTTTTTTCTTATTAAAAGGGCATAATCCTTCAAAATGGAATGAAGTTGAAATTTGAGTGCAAGTGCACAAATATGAGATAATTATCATGAAAATCAGTCTAGCAGTTCCAGAAGAATTGTTGCAATAAATTTCATTTTAATAGAAAAGGAATATAACTTTTCTAAAAGTAAAGGAAATTCAATTTTAAAGGAGATAAAATCCGAATTTAAAAGTACAAGTTCATGATGTACATGTCATGTATATAATTTAAATGAAATCAGTCTAGCAGTTTTAGAAGTAAAGGAACATGACCCTCTCAAAAGGACAGGAAATTAAAATCTGAAAGCAGGTGGACAAGTTCCTGGTACATGTTGTACAGTTTCATTGAAATCAGTTCTGAGGTTCGGGAGGAGACCTCTGGCCAACATGCATCTGTCTACACACGGAGGGATGGATAGGCAGACAGACAACCTGATTCCAGTGTAATAACCCCCTACTTCACCACTGAGGAAAAGTATTGACTTGTCAACAATCTACAGCATTTACAAGATTACACGAACAAGTTGTTCTTCAGCACCAGTTACAATGAGAAACAAAGCCAATCTGAAGACTGTTTATACAAACTGTATTTCATATCACATCACAGATACATACAAAAAATTACATCCAATCATCATCTCATACTTTTCATGCAATTAACCCATAAAACATTCAGTATAGAACTTATAGCATTACATGTATATGCTAAGGAATTTAAGGATCCCCGTCCCACTGCACTGTAGCTTTTCATAATTAAGAGTAACTGCCCCTTAATTTCGTTTGGGATAAAACTGTAGCACAGTTTGGCCGGGACACTTCTGTTGACCAGGCAGCTCAGTTGGTTAGTGAGATACTATAATGACCTGAGGTTCAGGGTTCGAAACCTGGTCTAGTCACGCTGATTTCTTATCTTCTCAATCATAAACACTGGTATATTTCATCTCTGTCATTTTTTTAAATCAAAGTTCTGCAAGGTATGGTTTTTTCAGAATTTATTTATCAAAGCTACAGTCATGTCGGCAAAATCGGATTCCAATGCATTGTTATTATTTTTGGCAGTAGTACGGAGATCCTTAAAAAGATTGATACTTTGCCCTTGATAATCACCAAGACATAATCTTTCCTGATTTGTCATTGATGACAAATGACAACTGAAGTTTCTTGAAGGTCCAAATTTTTATTTTTACCAAGGATGTGATATAAAAAACTTACATCGAGAGTTTGGAATTCATTTACTATACCCTCAAGGCAGGGAATAATTATTTGTACTTAATTGAAAACTCAGGAGCCTGTTTTTTGTATATATACAGAAGCATAAAGCTGGCATATGACTGTCTCATATGCTACATGCATATGGATATCAATATGCCTTAAAACAAAGCTCTCAAATAAATCAAACATTGATAAGACTTGAAATAAAACACTTTATCAACAAGTGTACACTGTAAATAGGTTAGTTTTCGTAAATGCATTTTTTTGTGATTGTTCTTTCAATGTCATATTTGATTTGAAACGTCAAAAAAAGTAAACATATATTAGTTAATTTTCCTTTTACTTGTGCCTGGCAAATACTTGTGTGCTATTTAAATTGGTGATTCCTAGCAAATTTGTGCAAGTTAAATATCTTGCCAAATACAATTATCCTACAGTATTAATTTTTGTAATAAGCAATGCATTTTTCCGTAAAGCGTTAAGAAAATTTCATCTCTGAGTTTGTCATAACAGTGACTTACATTATATAACAATGTCTAAAGATGTTACTATTGTCACATGTGACTAATACTACAAAACAGTAACAACATTTCTATTGTCACATGTGACTTACATTACACTATAAAATGGTGTATGATGACAGTTTCGTTGTCACATGTGACTTACATTACACTATAAAATGGTGTCTGATGACAGTTTCATTGTCACATGTGTCTTACATTACACTATAAAATGGTGTATGATGAGTTTTGTTGTCACATGTGACTTACATTACACTTTAGAGCGTCCATTTTCATATTTTAAAAAGAAAACATTTTGATATAAATGTCACTACACGTACTGAACCCCGGTTATAAGTGACAGTAACAACTACCATTCGGACGACTACAACCTGTCAAACACCAATATACGACCCACACACTATATACATGCCTCGCGGCTAATTCTACAGTATTTATATCAAAATCAAGTAATAAGTCTTTATAATTGACACCTTGTGCGCGCGTGCAGACGTCAACAACCGCCTACTGGTCAAGGTCGTTCTCAGAACAATGAGGTTATGTCCTTAGCGACACAAAAAATCCCCAAAAGTCTCCTTGAACAATGCATAATTAGTTTGCTTGCTATATTTGACCACTGAACATAACACAGTCCTGGTCAACAAACCTTGACCACAGAGTCATTATTTTGTCAAACTTTGTCCATTGGTTTTTCTGTCTTGACTAATAAAATTCCTCTAGAAAAATGAGCTGGATAAATTGGATTCAGATAGAATATATTCCATACTAGACCATCATACCCAAACAATAGGTTCACAGAATAGGTAATCTGGATTTTGATGTTTGCTTTAAACATCTTCGACCCTTGTGACCTTGAAAGTGGATCAAGGTTATTCAATTGAACAAACTTGATAGACCTTCCCTCTCACAAGTCAAAAGACAAAATATGACTTGAAGATTTAAAAAAAAAAAATTGAAAGAAAACTTTTACACAATAAACTCATATTCCCTGAAAAAAACAGGACAAGGTCAGATTATATTCATTTGGACACAGTTGATATCACATCCTCCCAGCAAGCCCTATATATGTCCGGGCTCTAGGTCTCCCTATCATGTATCTTTTGAAGTGGTCATTGCATGCCTCAACACATTTTGCATCAATGACCTTGAAAGTAGGTCAAGGTGAATTGTTTGAACAAATCTGATAACCCTCTAGCAAAGGAAGCTTCACCCTAGATACAATGACTCCAGGCCTTAAGGTTCTGTAGAAGAGGTCATTCTAAGTTTCTTTTTACCACATTTCATTTCTGTGACCTTGAAAGTGGGTTTAGGACTCGAGACCGTATGGTTCTGCAGGAGAAGATGTTAAATGAAAGGTTGACGACAGAGAGACAGAGGGCTGATGCTGCACCATCGCCTATAAACTCACATGCACTTTGTGCCAGGTCAGCTAATAATGAATTTGTCCATCAGGGGTTATCTCACTGATTATGGTTGTCATCACTTCCGCCAGAACCAGGACTTTTTGGGGTCCTGACTCGTAGCCATAGCTAATCGTCGCTGCTTTTCTCCCTGTAATAGACATGAAATTGTTTTCTCTTATCGCTTTACCATAGCATTTTACATGATTGTTTTTCATAACGATTACAACTTTACTGCTACTCTCATATTCCACTGCTAAGCGAATGTCACCCAACTCTCCAACTCAGTTATTCTGAACATGTGTACTGGGTATATCTCATATTTTCTGTTCATTTTTTTATGTTGAGATAAGGAAGCTTGAATGTCGTCATAAATAAAACATGGGGAAGATTATTTAAAATCATTGACAACCAGGTGGAGGCTGCACCATTACTCTAATCCCAGGATTAAAAAGACAGGTTTCTAATATCAAGGAATACCACATCTACCTACCAAACTGAACAATAAGGAAGATAAAAACCATCTAACATCATTCTCCTATCACTTTATTCAGTTTAATTTTTAATCATATAACTATTAGAAATCAGATTACCCCTTTACCTGTTATAGTGAACTTAAACACATCATGATTAAAAACTGGATGATTGTCAATTACAAAATACAAAATAGTAAAACAAACAAAAAACTGTCAAAAGTTATTTATAAACCAAACTAATTAAGCCAACGACAATAGCTAAAACTTAGATTTAAAGTTTGATTTTTTTTTACAACCATTAAACATTTGTTCACATTTACACAAAACAACCTTTAAGCGTAAATTTTTCGTCATATCTGTGATATGTGAAAACTACGAGAGCAACATTCTGCAAGGTCACAGATACCATTAAAGGTCAGCGGGGGTCAACGAGGGTCAGCGAGGGTCATAAGGGTCAATTTATCCGAAACAGGTGTGCAAATGACAAGTCAACAATTCCGTGCCAGCGTTGCAAATGTATTGTTGACTTAGCCAAGTCAGAGAAGCAGACAGCATCACGCCGGACCATAGTTACATCGACACTGCGCATTGCGGTTATGGACATTGTAAGCCTGGGAATTAACCGTCAGTGCTTTCAATTCTTCGACCACGTAAATATTGAATAAACTATTGTCTGACCTTGCCTTTAATAGGTTTACAGCATGCCAAGGTCAATTGATCGATGTTCAATTGCAATAAACTAGAAGTATCTTTAGATTACTTCAACCTACTTTTCCCCTTGCAATTCCAAGTCAGACTTTGTTTAAATTGGTAATTCAATTGACATTTTTTGTATGACTACAACTTTAAATCAATAATTCAATCAATCGACATTTTTTTAGACAAACAATTTCATTATTGCATGGTAAATATTTGTTTAAAAACAGAACCGTTCTTGACACAATTTTAATAAAAGATCACCTATTATGAATATCTTTTTTTTTTATTCAAGATTTTATAATAACAACTTTCCTACCTAGCAAACTGTTATGAAAGACTGCTACTTTTCTTGAGAAAGCACATTCTATTCACAGAAGAAATGGTCTCCCTGCTTGGGATATAAAGTACCCAGGTATAACCGGCTTTAATGATTAAATATCTGACAACAAACTCGGGTAAGTTACCCACATAAGCTAAAATCTCACCCTAATTCCTGTGACAAATAAACATAATTTAATTTCAATAAATGTCATGTGCCTGTAGAAAACTCTGAGCCACTGTCACATATATGCTTGACCCAACATTAAAGAGGCTGAAGTGTGAAACAGCAAGAATGACTGTGATAATTTTGAATAGAAATACAAATGTCCCTGTAATTACCGACTGATGGCTGATCACAATTTTTTTTGTTTAGGTTGTTTGTGTTCTATATGCCCTGTTAACAGCTACAGCTATGGTCATTTAAGGACGTGCCATGTTTTGGTGGTGGAGGAAAGCCGGAGTTCCCAGAGAAAAACCAAAGACCTACGACCAGTACCTGGCGACTGCCCCACGTAAGTCTCGAACCCGCAACCCAGTGGTGGAGGGATAGTGGTAGCAAAATGTCAGACGCCTTAACCACTTGGCCACCACGGCTGATCATAAACAAGGCTCAACTATATCAGGGGTCTATAGCTCCACTAGCCTGGTGACCAGGGCTAGAATGTTTTATAACCGGGCTAGTGAAAACTTTCAATATTTGCCATGAAAATAGAGCTCAGAGAATTATCTGTCTGCCTGCTTTCTAGTACAAATGTACTCTATGAATCTATTTCTACCATTATAAGGGAGGTAACTCTTATAATTACTATCAATTTAATTTTAGTTAATATAATATCCAATCCCACAGTGATATGAGACAATTATTGACCCCACAGTGATTTCACATTCACAGAGATTTGTTGACCTGAAGCAAGTAATATCACTCAAGGGCTTGCCCAAGGTTAGACAGCAAGTCAAGGTCATACAAATCTCATGTTGTACACCAATATGGGGTCAGTAACTGTTTTATTGTACTGAATAAATGCATATTTGATTTTATTTATGAACACAGCCTAACTAATGTTGCCGTAGAATATGCCTGTGTTTCTGCAAAAATATGATAATTTCTGGATATAGATTTTAGGAACATTTAAAGAAGAGCAACCTTCACCAAATTCAGAAATCTCGAGAGTACAATATAAAAGGGTTCGACAATATAGACACTTTTTATAAGCCACCAGTCAACAGGGCTACAGATATTACAATCAACTTTTCCTCCGGTTTCCCAGTAATTCCAACCTTTATGTAAAGCGGTAAAATTCGTGGAGCAAGGAAGGTTTGGGTTGACTGTAATTTCCTCTAGCTGGGGGGGGGGGGGGGGGGGGGGGTCTAAGGAGTTATTTCTCTTAACATCTCCTGTATATATATCTCCATTTATACATCACCATTCTGCTTGACTACTAGAGATTTGTTTTTGTGAACAAAAACATATTTCTCTCCTTTTCAGCCTATATGTATTTTTTGGTTGTACTTCTTTGATCTCTGATCAAAAGGTGAAGGTCATGGCGACCATTATAAAGTGCAATACACACCTTCTTTTGGTGATGCAGGTACTCTTTAAGGTTTCATCAAAATCTCCTGAATGGTTTAAAATTTACAGCCCAGAAATAATTTCATTGAAAAGTTTGCACTTATTTGACCTTTGACCTTATAAGTTAAAGTCACTGTGAAATTGAATGGATTTCTCATAATCCTTGGAGACATGTAGATACATGGTACATGTCATAAAATCTTTAATTGTTTCAAATTGTGGTACACACAAGATTTAGCTGGAATATGTGTGCTTATTTGAACTTTGACCTTGAAGTCTAGGTCACATCTACCAAATTAAGGAGCATTGCACACCTTCAGTTGGTAATGCAAGTTTCAAGTTTTCAAGTTTTATTTTTACACTCACGCCACACATATATGTGCGTAACAAGAGGTCACATATTACATAGTATACATTGATGGACATAGTACACACATAATATGACACATGATACAATTTATACAATAACAACCCATTTCAATAATTCTTTTAGCTAACTTATTTTAGATATTAAGTAGCTTCATAACTCTGTATAAATTTACTTATTTTTGTTAAAGGACCGTGTTACAAATTGAGAACATTCCTTTCATTTTGATATAAGTTGGGTCGACATAATAATAATTTGGTATATAAAGTTGTCTAAGAGCTACAACAGATACATTAGTACATTGGTATAAATAGTGGTATTCGTCCCCAACACAGTTATTACATAGGGGACCTAACCTTTCCTCGCGTGGGACTTTATTCCATCTTCCTGTTTCTATAGGAAATATTATATTTGATGTTCTAAATTTACATATAACTTTACGTTCATTACGATTTAGCTTTAAAAGATATGGTTCAATATTAAAATGCAGGTACACCTCAAATTAAATTTCATCACAGTATCTCTCAGTTTTAAAGTTCTGGCCTGAACAAGACAGGGATTTTCCTACCATTTTTTTTTTTCCGGGTCCAGGGTCCAATGAATTGGGAATTTTTATGCGGTAAAATTTGAAATTGGGGAAAAATTAGGAGAAATAAAATTACATACATTTCCAGTTTCTGTTAATAAATTTTACTTCTTATCATAAGAAACTGCATTCTTTGATATTGGAATTTGTTATTAATTTTTCAATGTATAAGCGTCTAGCATACAGCTAAATTCACAGACAACAACAGGACAATTTCTTACAAGGTGATATTTTATTTATTTGGGATACATACTTTTTTGGTTTGTTTTGTTTTTGGAACTTACCAGATCATGCAAAAAAAAGAAGTTTGAGGAGGGAGAGAGACAGACAGGCAGAAAATAGACACAAGGACAGATAATTTCTGTACTGAGCACACACATCTCTTGATGTAGCATGTAAATTATCTTACATTGAGGTCTGAAGATGTACACCGACAAATGTACCAGGTATCAAGACAATGTGTTGTAAACATACTTATTTTAGCATACCAACATTTTAGCACATCATCAAATTTTAACAGATTAGATTACTTGGCAGACCCCCGAGACATGCAATAGAGAACAATATACATCAACTTCAACGGGAACATAAATAATAATCAAGTGCAATTTTAAAAGCACGAAAAGTGCTAAAATAAGACAACCACTGAAATATGTAGGTTAACAGTTTAAATAACGGAAGTAGATGATAAGGGTAAGGAAAGAGTAGACATACCTCTAGTTTCTTCTGGTTTTCCTTGAACGCTTCCATGGGATCATCAAATTTACTGTAGTACTCCATGACAGTCCTCACATCCTCCACGCCACTTGACCCCACCACTGCAAACAACAGAAACCATCAGTGAACCAACAATCTAAACAACAACAACAACACATGGCATGGTCAGATACTCCAGCACTGTAAACAACAATAACAACAACACATGGCATGGTCAGATACTTCCGTCACTGAAAACACCAACAGAAACCATCAGTGAACCAACAATCTAAACAACAACAACAACAACACATGCCATGATCAGATACTCAGGCACTGTAAACAACAACAACAACACATGGCATGGTCAGATACTCCACCACTGTAAACAACAACAGAAACCATCAGTGAACCAACAATCTAAACAACAACAACAACACATGGCATGGTCAGAAACTTCGTCACTGTAAACAACAGAAAACATCAGTGAACCAACAATCTAAACAACACCACATGACATTGTCAGATACTCTGTCACTGTAAACAACAACAGAAACCATCAGTGAACCAAGAATCTAAACAACACCACATGGCATTGTCAGATGCTCTGTCACTGTAAACAATAACAGAAACCATCAGTGAACCAAGAATCTAAACAACACCACATGGCATTGTCAGATACTCTGTCACTGTAAACAATAACAGAAAACATCAGTGAACCAACAATCTAAACAACAACACATGGCATGGTCAGATACTCCGTCACTGTAAACAACAGAAAACATCAGTGAACCAACAATCTAAACAACAACACATTGCATGGTCAGATACTCCGTCACTGTAAACAACAACAGAAACCATCAGTGAACCAACAATCTAAACAACACCACATGACATTGTCAGATACTCTGTCACTGTAAACAATAACAGAAAACATCAGTGAACCAACAATCTAAACAACAACACATGGCATGGTCAGATACTCCACCACTAAAAACAACAACAGAAAACATCAGTGAACCAACAATCTAACCAACAACAACACATGGCATGGTCATATACTCCACCACTGAAAACAACAACAGAAACCATCAGTGAACCGACAATAAAAACAACAACAAACAACAACACATGGCATGGTCAGATACTGTCACTGTAAACAACAACAGAAACCATCAGTGAACCAACAATCTAAACAACAACAACAACAACACATGGCATGGTCAGATACTCTGTCACTGTAAACAACAACAGAAACCATCAGTGAACCAACAATCTTAACAACAACAACACATGGCATGGTCAGATACTCCACCACTGTAAACAACAACAGAAACCATCAGTGAACCATCAATCTAAACAACAACGACAACACATGGCATGGTCAGATACTCTGTCACTGAAAACAACAACAGAAACCGTCAGTGAACCAACAATCTAAACGACAACAACACATGGCATGGTCAGATACTCCAACACTAAAAACAACAATAGAAACCATCAGTGAACCAACAATCTAAACATCAACAACAACACATGGCATGGTCAGATACTCCTCCACTGTAAACAACAACAGAAACCATCAGTGAATCAACAATCTAAACAACAACAACACATGGCATGGTCACAATGTTCCCATTGCATTTTAGATTTTGGGGTATATTTCATACATTTTCAAGATTCTGTACCCATAGGAACTTTAGCTACAATAAGACAATTCTTGAAAACTAGGGGTACAACCAACAGTTTTGAGGTGAAAACCCCTCATTTGGGGCTTTCTGGGAACACTGAATCAGTAACTTTAAAGCCATAACCTGAACCATTTGCGACCCAAAAATGTAATCTAAAAAGGGTGTCTTTTTTGGCTCTGCAGGTATCAATCCAAAAGCATAACAGCTCCGTTTCAGGACAATACATGTATGATGAGAGTATTATACAAATCAATGTTTGAGGTAACCATTGGCCTACAGGTGGACGTTGATAAAAGGATGAAAATGTCTCAGCAAATCAGATGACATGTAAGGGTGGTGAGCTTAGACTTTGAATTGTCATAAATATACTTGGTCAGGACCACGAGAGGAAAATCTGTAAAAATCTGGAAGGAAATTGAGAAGACGATAAGTTTTACCTCCCCTCTCCATTCCCTTTCCAGCCCTGCTCCTCTATCCTCAGGGATGTGACAGTGACCCTTCACTTATACAACAATGGGTCCCCTTGGCCCAATGATGTTTCAGGCCGAATTTCATTCAAATCCCTTCACCTACGTATACATATTATGTATACTAATCTAAAAGACTTTAATAATCTTGATTTCTATTTCCCTTATTAAGTCCCACTCCTCTGCCCCAGGGTAGCCAAACCCAACATCTTTACAACAATGGGTTACTTTGGTCTGGTGATGCTACAGACCAAATTTGGTGAATATCTGCTCCGACTTTCAGGAGGAGCTGAAAAAGCTGACCGATGGATGACGGTCACAGAGTCATGGCAACATTAAAGCTAACATGACCGTTTGGCCATGGTCAGGTGAGCTAGCAACCTAGGACAATTAAAACCAGTAACCCTAGCTTGCAAACAGATACAGAAGAGAGAATATCTGACAATCGTAACAGTTGCAATGAGAGCCATAGATTCAGTCGCCAGGTACTGGCCGTTGGTCGGTGGTTTTTGTACAGGTACTATATACCTTTCCACCACCACCACCCTAAATGACCACAACTGTTAAAAGGACATCAAACACAAATAAACCAAACCAGGGATTACTTATGGACGTTCATGAAAAAATTGTCACAACTTCATTTTACCAAGGGAAAGTAATGTGGAACAATCCATTAGCAGGTCCCACATCGGTAAAAGGATGGGTTGGGGTTTTTTGTAAAATATTTTTAAGCGAAAAAATTCCTACTCTAGCTGTGCAACAATACTGCTGTGCAACAATACTGCTAAGTTCTGTTTACTAGGTTTGGTGTTCCTAATCAATATGCTGTAGATAATCTCTCACTTGGTATTGGTTGAAAAGTTAAAATGTAGACTCATGTTAGTGCTAGGAATCGCTGCAAATTTAATTATCGTAAACTAAAAAGGGAAATAAATAGGCAGGCATTCACCAGAATAAAAATGCAGTAAAAAGTCTTTAAAATATAAATAGGCAGGCATTCCACCAAAATGAAAATGCAGTGAAAAGTTTTTAAAATACCTATCTTTATGCAGAAATTTCATTTAATGCAATATATATAGTAAAAATTATCAGTATAATTGTTAAATCAATTTTCTGGTCTGCTTCATATCTCAATACTCCATAACTCTTTAATGTTTGCATGTCATAGTCAAACCAGGATAGATCATAGGAAATCATGATCGATTTTTCAGCGTTGGAGGAAAAATGACTAGACATTGATTTTAAATTAATTAAGGATCCTTGTTCCATTTCCAAAAACTGAGAGAAGGCTAAACATTTTTATCATAATTATTTCTGTAAGAAACCCACGCCTTGCAGAAGTTTTATGTAAAAAAGGATCAAATTAAAAAAAAAAAAAAATGAAGAAAAAAACAAACATTGTTCAGACATTTAATGCAACAGGAGATTATAGATGGGACTGGGAATGATCCTTGGACTTCGGATCACATTAGGGTCATTCAACTGAGCTGCCTCATTAGTGTTAGTTAGCAGGCTCAGTCCTACTACAGTTACAAAAGGATATTAAAGGGAGGCTATACAGTTCAACATAAAACTAGAGGAATTCTCTAGTGTCTGCCTGCAATTGGACAGGGATCCTTAATCATTATGTTCTCCTTAGTGAAAAAAGGTCAAAGTGTATGCAGGTCAAAGTGTATGCAGTGACCTTTTTTTAGTGTGTGTCACTGCCATCCCCAGATGTGTCACTGTAGCCATGCTTGGTACTCCTTGAAGTTATAACATAGAAGTTTTTCAGACAATCTTTTTCACCGATAGAAGTCAAAGTTGAAATATAAGTCACAGTGACCTATATTTATTAGGTGAAACTGCCATTAGGGCTGCATATTGGGAAACAATACTGTATTGCGATATATTGCAATATATAACTGAATATTGTGATTTGTATATTGCAATATATTGCTAAGGGTTAAAAAGCCTCTTAGAATGTTTATTTTTATTTTTGTAACTATTAATTTAATAAAAAGATATATATCACATTGATGTGTTTTTAGCAAGTGTTGGTCAAGTTTTTATTATTTCGACACCATGTTCCCTCTTAGTACCAGAAATGAGAAAACAAAACTCTATACTGCTGACTTTTTCACCTGCAGTATATTGGGTTTTTGCATACCAGTATATTGTTTTGACTCTGCGATACCACAATATTCTGGTATACCGTTACTATTGCACAACTCTATCTGCTATCCCAAGATATACCTGTGTACAAGGTTTGGTATTCTTAAGTTTTATTTTCTACTTGGAATAGTGCTGGAAACAAACCCAGGACAAAGTGTTACAGAACGGACAGAAAAAAAGAGAAGCTGGACCAGGTGATATCCTTAAGCCCCATAAACACCAGTGGACATTAACAGGAGTTGTGTCCCTTGTCCTACATTTTGTGCATCCTTTGTCCGGAAGCCAAATTGGCTTTTTTATTTTATTTTGAAAACTGTTTACTCTTGATAAATCTTAAACAGCCAACTAAGGAAAATGGTTCCTTGCTTCATTTATATATGTTCACTCCAAATAAGTCCTGTGTCAGCCCGTTGTACCGCTAATATAACAATGGTATATTGGCGGTAAGTGATTATCGTAGCTAAGAGGGGGTCACTATACATTACATTCTCCGTATGTAAAATTGATGACTTGACAACTCCCAGCATCCCCCACTAGGGTGGCATCACACCGACTATGATCACAATGTCAATATCTGAATTATTAACATTATCTACTTTCTCCCTACACCTTGGGTAGCCGTTAGTGATAACAGACATTGATTCTAGCGTTTTCTGTAGGGCAAGGGACACACCGTGTAAATCAACTCCGACACAGTATTATCAGATTCCTTGTTGCTATGGATACCTGGACACACCCTTATCCTCTGGCCATAGTATAATTGCCTTTATCTTCAACCAATGGCATCTGTTTTTATCAGTCAATACTTGA